AGGCAGACACTTTTGGCACGCCCGGTGGGACACTTGTCAAAAACTTATGATGGAAACCAGCGTTCCAATCACGACGGACCGCATGCCCAGGTCCATACAGAGACCAGCAGTGATGGAAGAACTGATGTCCAAGCAGGCCTACAGGATAGAAACATCCTTCGCGGCCGCAATGGACAGATTCTCCTCCGAGTTGCGGACACTTTTCCAAGAGGAGATGCCGACGGCCTCGCCCGCGTCGTCTCCTGGAGCTGGACAAAGAGGCCGAGAGCACGAAAGGGCCGAACCTGGTGACAAAAACAGCAGTCTCGGCGTCTCTGACCATGCCGAGGTATTAGGTTACGGCCAGCACTCTCTACGACCGGCCAACAGCTGGGGGCAGGCCCAGCCTACAAGGGCGAACCCCGGGCCAAACCAACCGGCTAGCCAAGGCTTTGAGGGGGAGTACTACGGTGTCTACGGCCGAGCAATTCGGCCCAACCCATACTTTGGCCAATCAGGCACGGTCCGGCCAGAGCAGTATGATCGAAGCGTCACCACAACAAAGTGAGCAAAAAGGCATGACCGTTGCACTATCATTACAAATGCACGATTCGGCCAGTCAGACGACGATACAAACGCGCCCAGGTTCCCTCCATGGTATAGATCAGCAGAACCAGGTGACCATACCTCGATGGCCAGCCGACCGAGATTATCTCGGCCAAAACTACGGCGTTCCACTAAAACTACCCGGCTCGTTCATAACGGCCGAGCCCGTGTGCAACAGGACAGACCGCTTCAAAGGCTTCAATCCGAGCACATCCGGCCTGTCACAAAAGACGGTGTGATGCAGGGGGAACCGGGGGCACCCGGTTACCCAAGACCGTGCCTACCAGGGGGACCTAGCGAGCGGCACAACTTGTTTCCCAAAGTTTTTTGGGCCAGCCGCGCCTCAGAGAATCCGGTCGTGGTCACGCCTCTCTATATCTTGGCCGACGGCCATGACCCTAATAAACTATTAGAGAGAAGGGTTCGAGTCCTTCGGGCTGTCGGGCAACGTGGCCGAAAGGGGAAGGCTCACTCACAGATGATGCTCAGGAGATCGAAGAAATCAGGGCGGTCGAAGCTCGACGACTACCACTCGGCGCAAGTTCAAAAGAAGATGGCACCGAGGACCTATGATAAAAAATAGGTAAACGATTCAAATAAACGGTGCGGTCAATATAAAGCGAAAAGACATGCATTCGGTCATTCAGAAAAGGGGGGATTCACCCTATATTCATGTTTTGAGAGATCATTTGTACATAGGGTTAGAATGGCCAGTCGAGGCCGAAACAGCACACAGATGTGTTAGCCTAAAAACCAGGGTTTTACTCCGGCCTTCATAAACGTAAGGGCCGTCACTCAGGATACAGGTGCG